ACATAAAGCTTGTCTCCCATCCACCAAGCTTGGTCCTCATCGGGTTAAAACATTTTTATTATTCTGGAACCATTTATCTGAATCCAAAGCAGCATTTATGTTTTGGAGTAAGTCGGTGGTAGGTTTTTGTTTCTGGAGTTTTGTCTGAGACCTGGTTAGAGCTACTGAGCCAGGTTCTAGTTGAGGTGGTGCTTTAAGGATTACCGGGGCTACCACCTGTTCTCTTTGGCTGTTATGCTGAGGCAATCTTGACAACGCATCAGCTAAAAAGTTTTTCCCTCCTGGTATGAATTTTAAAGTGAAGTTAAAGCGACTGAAAAATTGGGCCCAGCGTACTTGCTTAGGTGACAGCTTTCTTGGAGCTGTAAGAGACTCCAAATTCTTGTGGTCTGTCCATACTTCAAATGGCTGGGCTCCTCCCTCAAGGAGGTGCCTCCAGGTCATAAGGGCCCAGCGTACTGCAAAAGCCTCCTTTTCCCAAACCAGCCACCTTCGTTCTGTCTCAGTAAATTTGCGAGAAATATATGCACAGGGTTTGAGTACACCCTGTTCATCTTTCTGGAGCAGAACAGCTCCTATTGCCACGTCCGAGGCGTCGGCCTGAATTACAAATGGCTTGTCAGGGTCTGGGTGTTTTAAAATAGGCTCTACCATAAACAAAACTTTTAGAGCCTCAAATGCTTTTTGGCACTCCTCTGTCCATGTTAATGGGGCCCCGGGCTTTTGAGCTTTCGCTAAGCCTTTGCCTTTCGTTTTTAGTAAATCTGTTAACGGCAAAGCCACTTGTGCAAAGTTCGGAATGAATTGGCAATAGAAATTGGCAAAGCCCAAGAAACTTTGTAATTGCCTCCGGGTTTTAGGGGGTTCCCAACCCAAAACATCTTTTACTTTGCTCTCCTTCTCCTCCCTCCTTCATAGCTATTTCCTCCCTGGAGAAAGCAAAATCTTCTGGGGGTGATGGAAAATGTTCCTTGTCCATACGACTGGAAGAACCTCCCCCCCCCTTCCTGGTCTCCCTGACTGGTAACT